TGTGTGTAAGCAGTAATAATGAAATTGCTACCCAAGCAACAAGTGTCAGCGTTTGTGTCCATTTCATTGTCGGCGTAAGTGCCAGCCACAGGTTCTTGGACACCAAGTCTTTGCGTTGCTGAGTATTCAGAGATGACACGAACGATTCGCGAAACTTGGCTGATGCTGCGGCTGACGGGTGGTAGTCAGATATTACTCCCACTTCCTCCATTTTGTCGCTGTTGGGCTTGTTGTAGACGTCCTCCAATAATGGAGCGCCCGTTGGTGCCAGTAGTGACTCGGGAGATTTGAGTAGCAGCAGTATCTTGTGTGATTTCGGTTGGTACAGTCAAACGGTCGGTCAAATCTCCAATCAGAGAAGTCAGTGCGGCTATATTTCTTGTATTTTCGTTGGTACTAGCATTGTCTTGGTTATTTTTGTTGGGCTTGTTGTATTTCCATTGTAACGGCGGTTATCACGGGAATTGTTGCGGTGGTTGCGACCACCTTGTCCACGTCCGCCGCCATGTCCTCCCCCACGTATGATTTGATTGTTCTCTCTGACGTGTCGCCCCCGAGCAACGGCAGCTACGGAAGCTGGAGGGAATTTTTCTGACACCTTGGAACGGTACATTCGCATGGCCTGATCATATGTCATAGTCATAGGAATAGCATGCATGTTAGCTTCAATTGCCGCTTTTGTCTGTGACAGGAAGTCAGCTTTGATTCTTTGTTGGAGGGATCGTAGCTTCATAACGTCAGTATACATTACACGTCCATATTCGTGATGCATGGTTGCATAGGCATTATTTAATATTTGTTCAAATTTCTGCCAGTACATAGCTGGACGTTTTTCTCCTGCATAGAAAAGTGTTGCAATGATGTTTTCCGCTGCCATGACATCATGAGCGAAAATGCCTTCACCTTCATAAAATGCCTTCAATGCGAAGAAAGCAGCTCTACCATCAGTAGTAGTATTGAGCGCTTGTATTACCATTTCAGCTTCAGAACAACTCATGATAAATTTGTTCAGTAGAGCCAACACTTGTTTGTTATCCACAATAAAGGCGGTTCCAAGAAGTAGAGCCATATTGATATATTCGTCAAGAAAATCGTCTTGTGGTGTTGGGTCTTGAGCTGCATTCTCGCGGACCACATAAACAAGAGGGATGCCATTGACACCGATATATGCGCGGAGGTGGTCACGGAGCAGCTTGACCCATTGCTTCCATTGTTGTTCTTTGCTCCACTTGGGTGGAACCGTATTGTCAATTAAAGTTTTAGAATCTTTGACATACTTTTGATGGAAGTTCAATCGCTGCAGCAGAGTAGATGTATCTCCAGCTGGGAAAGGGTGTTGTGCAGGGTTCCTGCCCATCCGAATTTCATCGCGAACCCACTGTACAAATGCTCTGATTCGGTCTTGAGCCCTTGGTCTCGGTCAAGGATGCAAGCGTTGCAAGGTCCATGTTGACTTGCTTGATTGACTTGGTCATGGCAGTGCCAAAATCGTTGTCAAAGAGCTCTTCTGCCATACGTTGAGCGTCAGTTTGTCCTTGGAAATTCCCAGTGTCAGGGATTTGACATAAAATCATGGCATCATAGATCGTAAAAACAGGAATTGCGGCGGCCATTTTGCCTATAAAAGTGATTCCTTAGTTAGTTCGTTCGTATTGGTGTTGCATTCGTTACACCTTTGACAGTTTTACATGGTCGAAACCGGTGATGTAGCACCATTGACACGATCGAAATCGGCTTTGCACATATTAAAAAATATTGCAGTATTCGTATTCATAATTCGTTCATTTGAATGCATTTCATTGAATAGCTTTTGCTTTCATAGCTATTGGGTCTTGATAAACAATGTAAAATACGTCATGTAGCGATAGACTTACTAGGAGGATGATAAAAGTAAAGGAAAGTTGATAGACGTTTGTAAAAGGAAATCTAGAAAGTTGTGATGATGTGTGTGGTCCATCACCGATTCTGTACGTTACCGCGTACAGACTATGCGTGCGTATCTAATAGCACGGTGACCTTTATTTGCTTACCTGTGCACCTTGAGGTGACTACCTCTGATCATGTGTACTTCTGGTCTCGAAATCCGGAGGACAAAGGCTCAGAACCTCATGGCTTGCACAACAGACACTTCAAGGCAGCGGCCCAGTCACCAGTTATTGCCTCTTGTGATGCCCTTTTTCGCAATATTCCTTTGGCAACGGGATTCGTCCCCTCAAATTGGCGGAACTTGATGAATTTTGCAATTGAGAAAAAGGCAGGCGACTTCCGGTTGTCGAAAATGCGTACTATTCAGTTAATGAATTCGGAGGCACAGGCGAACAACAAAAAAGCGGGTCGAGCGGCCATGCGATATGCCAAGGAACACTCCTTGATTCCGGACGGTCAGTGCGGTTCTCGGAAACGTCACCAGGCCATTGATCTGGCCCTGTCCAAACGTCTGGTCTGGGACTTGTTGATTCTCCAACGACGCGCGGCTGGGTGGATCGATCGTATTGTTCATTGGGTGGCAATCATTGCGATGCTCCGGTTTGGGCTGACATGGAGGATCCTATCCTCCATGTTTAACATGCTGTCATCAGCGACGCATCGGGTGCAGACAGGCTTTGGCGATTCAGAACGTACTTTCAAGCCGCCTTCTGTTATCCCCTTCCAAGGCTGTGGTCAGGGTAATGGGGCTGGACCCCCTATATGGATCTCCGTGAGCTCCGTTCTCATTACCATGATGGAAGCGATGGGTTACGGCTTTGAGTGCCTCTCAGCACTGGAGTCACAGTTGGTCACAGCCCAATGCTTCT